GCGACTGTTGAAGTTGAGTGTATAGTAAAGTTTTATTCCGAAAGAATAATCCAATTTTATTTAAGAAAGGACTTGTGTCGCTAAAGTTTTGTCGGAACGAATTTACGGAAAATCAATTAACAAACGGAGACGTAACAATATATATATGACAAGGTCATCTGGGAGATAGACAGGATAAATGTCTATATTTTATTTGTGCTATATTCTTAAGATAATAAGACAGAAATTTAAGATTTGGAAAAGAAAAGCTAGGCTCTAATTGTTTTGCTTTATTTTTTTTTAACGGTGTGGTTGACTTATGGAATGAGTTGCGGTCGGCACTAGTGAGGTCAATTAAATGATTTTAAGATGGGAGTCAATGATTTCATGGTAGGGTTAAATTTTTACTTTTCTCAAGGGTGGGTGTGCATGGATAGGCTTGATGGACCAAATGGTTGGTCTCGAGTTGTTCGTCAGTTATGTCATATATCGTTGTTGTTTGTGTTAATTAAATTTGACAGAAAATCTTACTCGAAACGCAAATTTATTACCATACGTATATAATCAAACATGCTATTTCCATTACTGATATACATTAACATCTTCCACGGTTATACAATAAGCATTACCCCTCCTCAACAAAAACAAATCTAACAGGTTACAACAATGACTAGACTATTATTAGAATGATTACTGTTGAAGACAAATTTTAGGTGTACATTCATAAATAACAATTTGGACGCTATGAGATTTTTGCCTTAAAAAAAAGATGTGATTTCTTATAACTTTTTCATAAAAACATAAATAATTTTAATATCATAGATGGCGCCTATATCTTGGGCTATAAAAATAAATTACAGCGCAAACTACCCACGTTAATTAACAAGAACGGCGTTGGAGGTGTACGTTTGTCGTAACATATTTGTTTACCCTGACTACAGTGTAAGCAGTACGTATACACACGTAAGTGTGTCTGCGTCTAAATAGTGTTGCTTATGGATATATATATTTTATATATCTTAAACGATATAGCCCTTTAACTCCCAAAAGTTAACATTTTAATTATTTCTTATTCCTTTTGTGAAGTTATGTCACCACTTGCTAAGTACTCAATTATACTATTTGCCGTTTAGAATCGTAGTTTAAAAAATAAATTTGTCCATATGGATGAACTTAAGTTTGTATAGTAGTTGTTAGTTTGAGATAAAATAATGTCAAAAGAAATTTGAAATTTTAGTTTAAAACCATACAATATAGTTTAACTATTTAAAGGTTTAATTTTTTGAGATGTAAGAAACATTTGATAAAATTAATGGACTGCAACTGCCTATTAAATAAAAAGGAGACGACATTTCGCCCGTTTTCATAAATCAAGATGTAAGAAAATATAAACTTGTAGTTATTTAAACGCATAGAATAATCAGTTGATGTCTAAGTTAATGATTATACGAATTGTTGAAAATCAAATATATTTAACCTGAGTGCTATTCACATGGCAACTTAATATTTTTCCCATTTTTCTGTCTTTTTTGTTACATAGGACTAATTCTGCAGTATGAAGGCTTCTAACTCCTTTGAGTTGAAACGTCTTACCAGTGATGACTGCAAGAACGAAATGCCACAAGTAGAAGTATCAAAAGAAACGGCTCAAGCACACTCCAGGTTTTGGGATTATGTTTTGGCTGTACGACCATGGTCCTTTAGTGCATCTTTAACATCTGTTGGACTTGGAACCGTTTTGGCATATAAACTTGCAACAAGTTTTAGTGTGATGGTATTGTTGGCAACAATCATGATCTGTCTTTCTGTACACATTTCAGGAAATCTTCTCAACACCTACTTCGACTACGTAAATGGAGTTGATGATAAGTATAGTGATGACAGGACACTGGTTGACAACAAGTTAACTGCGAATGAAATCTATTATTTAGCTATCATTTCATATGTTTTTAGCTGTACTTGGGTTGTCATCTTAATATATTTATCTCCAGCTAAAGTGGGTCTTCTTATATTTTATGCACTTGGCTTAGTTAGTTCTTATATTTATACTGGTGGTGTTTGTCTGAAGTACAGAGCCCTGGGAGATGCATTAATTCTTGTTACGTTTAGCCCACTAATAACATTCTTCACATTTCTGGCCCAAACCAGATTTCTTGATCTTAGCCTTTTGTGGTATTCTCTTCCATTTGCTTTTTTTACTGAAGCAATATTACATAGCAACAACACTCGAGACATAGGAAACGATAGCAGAGCTGGCATAGTTACTGTGGCCATTCTTCTTGGATATGCTGGTTCTAAATTGTTATACAGCTTTCTCTTGTTTTTACCTTATATAATTTTACTTATTCTCGGGATTGAGTCCAGCACGTGGATGTTTCTTCCATTAGTAACTGTTCCTTATGCTCTGCAGCTCCAGCGACAGCTAGGAAACAAACAGATTAAAAAACTGCCAACACAAACTGCCCAGTTAACCTTGTTTTTTGGGATTCTCTACATAATAGCTTGTGCAGGAGCTCCACCACTGTTCGGTTTCATAAAACATCTTCACAAATGAGGTGAATAATAAGCTTAATTAGTAAGGTAACGTGGAATACTGTTGTTGGTGTATAATATTATATAAGTAAATTCAAAAAGGCAGCTTTTATATTGGAATATAGATTGGACAAACGAACATCTGTTAGGGGATCTGGAGGCATGCCCTCTGTAGAAATTTTGAAAAATAGACCCTAAAATATGCGTTTTTTTTGCATTCTGTAATAGCATTTTATCAGTTTTTCCTTTACAGAAATATTAATACTGTCGTTTAAAAGATACCGGAGTTTTTTCCAGGATCACGCAAGTTTGATAAAAGAAATCTATATGAGCAAAACTGGTTTATTTTTAGCATAAAACTACATAATAGGCTATCTGCTCTCAGCCAACCATGAGAATCGAATCCTGAATGTTAACGTTACATGTCATTAAACTTACCTCTGGCCCAGCAGGAGACACATCTACAAATAAATCTTAGGCATACAAATCTTTTTCATTTAACAATTACCACTGACTGATTCTTACAGCGTTTGACACGGATAGAAACTGTAAACGATTTTTGATATTTTCACCAATGGATCAGTGCGGAAAATTTTACAGTATTGTATAACTATAATGAAAAACCATCTCTGACACAATAACTGAGGAGACACGGAGCTGCACATGTAATTATTTTAGTCTTATTTTAATTTATACAGTTGTGTAAATGTTTCTTGACATATGCATACTTTACAGTGATGCAGCAGCATTTCTCCTGTGAGTCGTGAAAATATTTAATTTTTATTCTCTTATCACATACGTGTACATTTAAGTCATGTTTAGGTTAAATTTACTGCTTGGTAAACTGACGTCACGATTCTATCTTATCTAATTATCGATATTAAAGTTTCATCTTATTTGAAAGCAGGATTATATGGCAATCTTTCAGTTCATCATTTCATTAATTATTCTAATCCCACCACAAGCCCCCACCCTCACAAGTTCAGTTTGGTTCCATAACTTTCTCAGCACAAGAACCTCAAGAACGTTCTCATCCTGATTCAGGGCTCACACCCAATGAATCCATATACTGAATACCTTAATAGTATTGTGTATTTTGTGTAGTTGCTTGCCCCCCCCCAAACTTTCCTGTGGTCCCCCAAATTTGGAACCCCTGCCAGTGAGAGAAGTAGTTTTCAGAAGTGTTTCTGTTGATATTGTGAAAGTGTACATGCTACTATTGTGGTTTGATGTTTTAATTATACATTTTTGCTCATTCCTTTTCTTAAAATGGAGTTTCCAGAAAGTATTATATTATTGTGTTTTTAATTGTGGTTTATCTATTCTCGTGCGATGTAGTAAGTTTAAGTCTCTCAAGGTTTAGCTTCAACTTTACTCTAGTAGCCAATGTTTTTCAATCTGTCAGTAACAGGTGTTGGAAAAAGAACTGTTAATCCTAAGATAAACAGTTTATATATTTGGCAAAGCTGAAGAAGATTACAGCATTAATACTTGAATGTATACAGAGCGTTTAGAAGAGATTTTGCTAATGTTTGTTTTTCCTCCATCTCTGTTACTGAAGCAGAAACGAACACTTCTGTATAAAATAACCTTATGTTGACATTAGTAAGAAAAATCCGCTTTCACCCATATAACTTAAACCATAACATATGGATAAGAAGGTTGTTTCAAAAATGTATTTAATTTTGCAACAATTAACAATTGTCTCCTTTGAATTGTTTTTCTCTTTTCCACCCAATCCAGTCAATTTTAGTTACTTAACATCGACTGTTGTGCTTTGACAATATTTTCATACATCATTAGGCTTTATATTATGTTTATTCTATTGCATTGTGTATATTAGTTATTGTAATCAAAGGTAGATGTTATTATCACCTCAGAATCATAATACTTTTGTCATTACTTCACCTCCGATTATAGTAATAGATTTTGTTTATAATAACAATGCGTCATCAGGGGTTATGATAGTGTTATCGTTGTCTAGCAATGATGATTTTTGTACTTTATCAGGCTTTACAGCAGCACCGTTATGTTGTCTGGTACCTTGTATTCTAATCTTTGGATGTAGCCAGGCTTTGAAACAGTGTCGTTATTTTGTCTGGTACCTTGTACCCTAGTCTTTGGATGTAGCTAGGCTTTGAAACAGTGTCATTATTTATTTTATCTGGTACTTTGTACTGTAGTCTTTGGATGTAGCCAGGCTTTGAAACAGTGTCGTTATTTATTTTATCTGGTACCTTGTACTGTAGTCTTTGGATGTAGCCAGGCTTTGAAACAGTGTCGTTATTTTGTCTGGTACCTTGTACCCTAGTCTTTGAATGTAGCCAGGCTTTGAAACAGTGCCATTGTTTTATCTGGTACGTTGTATTCTAGTCTTTGGATGTAGCTAGGCTTTGTAACAGTGCCATTGTTTTATCTGGTACCTTGTGTTGTAGTCTTTGGACCTAGCCAGGCTTTGTAACAGTGCCATTATTTTATCTGGTACCTTGTATTATCTAGTTTGGATTGTGGCCAGGCTTTGTAAGAGTGCCATTGTTTTATCTGGTACGTTGTATTCTAGTCTTTGGATGTAGCCAGGCCTTGTAACAGTACCATTGTTTTGCCTGGCACGTTGTACTCTAGTCTTTGGATGTAGCCAGGCTTTGAAACAGTGTCGTTATTTTATCAGGTACCTAGTATTCTAGTCTCGGGACCTAAACAGGCTTTGAAAGAGTGCCATTGTTTTGTCTGGTACCTTGTATTCTAGTCTTGGGACCTAGCCAGGCTTTGTAACAGTGCCATTGTTTTATCTGGTACGTTGTATTCTAGTCTTTGGATGTAGCCAGGCTTTGTAAGAGTGCCATTGTTTTATCTGGTACGTTGTATTCTAGTCTTTGGATGTAGCCAGGCCTTGTAACAGTACCATTATTTTATCTGGTACGTTGTACTCTAGTCTTTGGATGTAGCCAGGCTTTGTAACAGTGCCATTGTTTTGTCTGTGATATTGACCATGATCATAATGTTTTCCTCGTTCAATAATGTTTTTAAAATCTTGATTATATTAAATGTGGAACGAATATAAATATATATTTATATTATTTCCTTGTTTACATCTAGAAATTTTCACTATTACCATATTATAATGTAACTTATTATACAGAGGTATATGTAGATGTTTGCTTTATATGTACTATGACAAATAAAATGTTGATATATGAAAGTGAACGTTTCTACATTGCTTTACACTGCAATGTAACCCTAAGCTTTTGACTTGTCTTTCCACGCTTATTTTACTTGAAGGTTTCAGCCTGACATCACATAGTATATGCAATGCCTCCATGCGGTAATATCTGCAAACTCTAGAAATGCGTTCCTCATGCATCTTCACATTTAATTCTACAAACTTATGCCAACTGATTTGGTAATATGAACAAAGAAACAAATGAAGTCACCTGTAAAACTACAGTAATTACAATACAGCTATTAAGTATTGCTTACTGAAAAGTTACACTTTACGTATGTACAGCTGAGCCATTAGGAGTTACAATTTCTATGTAAAGTATCTACTGCTGAAGAGACAAGTCTACTCACATGGACCCCACACACTTGATTCTTTTCAATCACGGCTACTGTACATGTACCTCACACACCTGACTCTTCTCCATCAAGGCTACCGTATATGAAACTAACACTCCTGACTCTTTTCCATCAAGGCTACTGCACATGCACCTCACACACATGACTCTTCTCCATCACGGCTACTGCACATGAACCTCACACATATGACTCTTCTCCATCACAGCTACTGCACATGTACCTCACACACCTGACTCTTTTTCCATCAAGGCTGCTGCACATGCACCTCACATATGCTTTTTTTCCATCACACCTAACTCTCCTCTATCCCAGCTACTGTACATGTACCTCACACACCTGACTCTCCTCCATCACGAGTCCCCAGTGGCACAGAGGTATGTCTACGGACATCCATCCAGCTTTCCTGTCACATAGACACTGTGTGTGCTTGGCATTTTACACCTAGCTGTTGGGACTTTCAAGATGGGGG